CCCCCCACCCCCCGTGAGGCCTGGGTCTTTGGGTGCAGACTCTGCCTCGGCCTATCTGGGCTGCGGACCCTTCACCTCAACCAAGGGGGTGGAACGGGAGTGGCCCGCCCCTTCGGAATGAGCTTCTTTTCTACAGTACCTGTGTCTGCTCTTTAAATCAGCCATGCTACCCCAGGAAGTGCCCTGAAGGAGAAGGAAAAGATGCTTGCCCCAGTCATAAGCATCTGTGTGAACAGGAGAGACTTCCTCGATCCCAAATGTGATTGCCATGGTTAGTTCAAAGCTGTTTCTTGTGAACCGAGTAAAGGCTTAGAGAGCATCGTCTCCCATTCAACCACCGTGCACATGTCCTGGCGTCTCCTCCGCCACGGTCCCTGTAACCTACCTCTGCGTACGCCACTTCCGCCCTGCGTGTCCTCTCCTTCCTAACCCTGCGGGATTTTGTCCGAGTCAGTGCCGCCCGGCTGGCCTCAGGGGGCTGATTATTCTAATGGGGTGTACGGCTCTGCCCTGCATCACTCTTGCTCTTAAGGACCCCATCTGGTCTTGGGCTAAAAATGGGGCTGTGGAGGTGAGTTCACTTGCAGGGCTGCAATATTCTATTTGCTAGACTGCAGAATGAAAACAGACACAAAAACACAGCAGGGCCTCGCCAACTAGAGGCTGCGCGAAGGTTCCCCAGTGCCTGCATGCAGAGGCCGCCCAAGGCACACAGCTGTGTGGAGCGGAGGGATGGCTGTGGGGGGCGTGGGGGGTGGGGAATGGGGCTAGACGTGTGACCGAGCACAGGCCAGAGGGTGACAGAGTTCAGGGGGGAACAAAACTGGAGAAGGCCGAGCTGATGAACAGCTGAGATGCGCGCGAGCTCCTTACGAGCAGTGCCTGAGTCCAGTCCCTGGCTCCTCCGCGCAGGGCACCTGGAGTGGCGCCCGTCCAGAAGCAAGACACGGCCTCGGAAAGGGCCTCCGTCCAGCCGGACCTCTGTCCCTGCAGAGCCCGCGCGCCCAGAGAGCTGAGGAGCAGAACTGGACTTCGGATCAAAGATACTGTTCATTCCCAGGGGGAAACATACAGGGAATTGCTAACTCATCTTCAAACAGTCTGGGGGGAGAAACATGAAAGACATTTTAAACAGAAAGCAAAACATGTCTGAAGACAAAGGAGAAGGGCCTTTTGGTCCATCAGACCCGGAGGAGAGAAAAGAGTAGTTCGAAGTGAGGCAGCAAGTAGGGAGTGTGTGGCGGGTGTCAATCAATCTTGAGGGTGGTGATAAGTCCTGCCCCCAACACTCATGGAAAGCATGGTCTCCCCAGACAACCAAGCCTTCTCATGAAGGACCCAACGCCACACTGTGTCTTAAAGGTCGAGCAGAAAAGCTTCTTTTCTTTCTGAAAGGTACGGGGGAATCACCAGATTTTAAACTCCCACGATGTTTATGTTCCTCCTCACTTACTCCTTTCATCAAGTCGACGCCCACGCACCGTCACCCTGTACGACAGGACAGACTGCCCCCGTGAGTTTCTGGCACTCTGCTTATGGGGATTTTACAAAGCCCCATTTTTCTCCCAAGGAGCAGCTGGTGGTTTCAAACTGAGGATCGCAGCCCAACTGATAACCACTCCGCAACCAGGGCTCCAAAGTTTTACTTTGAGAAGCAGAAGACATGAATAAAAGGCCGTATTCTGTAGAAATCAACGTTATGGTTTCCAAGTTCGCTCTATTTTTCATTAAGTATGCAGCAGCAGCTAAAGAAGGCCCAGGTGATGCTACCCAGTCTTTCCCTCCGAAGAGCAGAAACCAAAAGGCTAAGGGCAACGACCGCCCAGTGTTGAGTTCCCTAACGAGCAAAGTGGGCACAGGCTTATTCGTGCTTACTTGCTTTTAGTGAACAACTTCACATGTTTTCACTACCTTGAAGAGCCTGCTTCTAGGTACGGTGAGTGCCTGGCTCTCTCCCCTTCCCACATAACTCTACAGACTCAAAGCTGCCTTGTCAGGTGTCCCATCCCTGACAGGGTGGAGGGAGTGCCCAGTCAGCAAGGTAAGCACGGCTCTGTCTACTGGTGCCGAGTTACTAGTCTGGAGGGAACTTTCAAGGGCTGTCCACCACCTCAAGCTCTAACTGGAATCGCCACAATACAGTGCCCTGGTCTCTCGACCCAGCAATGCCCAGACTGTGCTTCCTGGGCAATCTGCCTGAGATGGCCCCGAAGTGGGCACTGGTGAAAAGTCGACTGCAGGCTGGCGCTCTAAGAGGGCTGGCAGAGTGCTGTGCAAAATGAGAGGATGGCCACTCTCTCATGACCACCCTGAGTGGAACGGGCCTCTCTCTCCCTGTGGATCTGATTGGATTGCGTAACTCTTCCAAATATATTTAAACCACTGAATTATGTGGGCCGAGAATGACAGGTCAATAAGACTGTTAAAGAGAGAGGGGCTAATTAAAGGAATCCGCCAGAAGAAACCAGGAAATACGAAGTATAACAAGTAACAAAAAACAGAATCACAATGCTAATTCTCCACTAGAAAGACCTGTTACTTGCTGGGGGGGAAATGCTGTGTCATCTTTAAGACAAGAGCCAGATGATGAAGGAGACATGCCCCAAGGCTTTGAGACACGGACGTCTCTACCGCGGGGGACCGCCCGGACACAGAGAGATAAAGAGCTGGCAGTCTAAATCAGACAAGCTCGTCCTGTTTTTATTTTTTATGAACCACCTCGCTCCTCAGTCTGTGTCTAACCGTACACTTTGGTCACTGTCCTGGAGATGCTACGGTTGTTACTAATTAAAAAAACTCACTGCCATTGAGTTGATTCCAACTCAAAGTAACCCTATAGGGCAGAGTAGGGCTGCCCCTTGGGTTTACGGGTCTGTAACCCTTTCCAGGAGTAGGCAGCCTCATGTTTCTCCCTCGGAGCAGCTGGTGGTTTTGAACTGCTGACCTTGCAGTTAGCAGCCCAACACTAACCACTTGGCAACACTTACTGTTACCTAATACTAACTCCTTACAGTCAAGTGCTTTCTGTAGATCGCACACAAGTCAACTATTTCTTCAGAGAAAGTACTTAAACCAGGTATAATGATGTGCACTTTTATAGTAGACATTCAACCGTTTTGGGATAAACTTTTAATTTTCCTAGAAGTAATTCACATTAAGGTAAAAGCCTTAACAAGGATTTAATGCATACTGTCCATTAAAAAAACAACAACAATAAAGGTTCCATGACAGCAAGGGAAAGTCAGTAATGTCTGCCAATAATGATACCAAAATAACAAACTCACTGACATGCAGTCGATGCTGCCTCAGTGGCCCTACAGGACAGGGGCGCACTCCCCTGTGGGCTTGCAAGCTGTGACTTTTGGGGAGCAGAAAGCCTCGTCTTTCCCCGTGGCGTGGCAGGGGGGCTCCTGCAGGAGATGAGGACAATCAGCTTTTATCTGCTAGATGGCGCTGCTGGTGCCAGCCGCCCAGTTCTCGCTCAGAGCCACCCTGTGTGCAACCGAACCAAACACTGCCCGGTTGTGGGCCGCCCCCATGAAGGTTCGGCACGGTTGAAGAAAAGCAGCCGCCGGAACTCTGAGGACTGTGCTAAACAGGATGCCATTCTACATTTTACAAAGAGGCTGCCACTCGGTGGTTAACGTGAGGCCCCAAAATGAACTCACCCACCCAGCACCTTCAAACTCCTTCCTCATCCAATCCACCGTTCACGTGCAGCCCCAAAACTTGTTTACTCACTTAATAAGCTAGCCAGCTGCACGCGGTGAGACTGAAAAAAGAAATTCCCGAGTGGCTGCTACACACGCCTACCTACTTCTTCCTGCCAAATCTGGGCAGGGCTAGTTTTACTTATCTCCCCAATTATGATAGTGAATACAAGGAGGTGTTGGTTACCGCAGGCCCCGCAAACCCCAGGTCAAGCTCAAGGTTCAGCCACCTTGGTGCGCCACCCCCGCTCAACCTAGGCCACTCAGCTCAGCCTCCACCGGGCTACCTGCGACCTCAGCACCTGGGATGGCCTTGCCAGGATTCGAACCTGGATCATCTGTATGGTCAAACAGAGGCTTCCATTGAGCACAAGACCAGCTGCGGGTGCAGGTCCCTTCCTCACCATTAAAACCCTGACACGCCAGCCTTTCTCTGAGAGGGCGGTTTGCAGAGAGGCAGGTGTGACGAGAGGCTAAGCAGACAGCTCAGGGGCAGGAGGAGGCGAGAACCAGGTTCACAGCTGGAAGACACCATCGCCCGAGACCCCGTGCTCCTTGCGGTGGCGGACGGAGACAGGCCACCCTCGTTTCCACAGATGAAGTTTGAGAGTGGCCTCGGGGACAGCTCTTCTACGGGACTGCTCAGGGCAGGGAGGGACACGGGGCTTCGCTCTTACCTTGGCATTTTCCTGGATCGGGCAGAGCTTTGGACCTCTTTGGAGGCAAGTTTACTCGAGGATCCCCAACTGTGAGTCCCAGAAGAGAGCCTGCGGGAAGCTCTGCCGGGGACGTCACTCCTGGAAGGGCACGCAGACAGAGAGCTCTCAGGAAGCCATCGCAGCCGGAGCACACTAGCTGCAACTGTTGCAACCCTCCGCATTTGCAAGTGAAACTTTCTCCTGCAGATTCACCTCGCTTCCCTTGGAGCTCGGGTTTGTTACGACAGGAGCGGGTAGGCGCCTACCACTGGGAACTACACCCACCCCTCGCTTACTGACGGGGTCCTGAAACAAAAACCAGTGTCGCACAAAGAGGACGAGTTTGGGGGTGGGGTTTTGTTGGTGGTTTTCAGACTATTCAATTGTTGGAATTTTTTGGTTAATTCAGAAAACATGATCACAGGAATAATAGCGGCTTGGATTTACTGATGAGTCTGGTCATTGATGATTCCTCCGCGGGGAAGGAGGCTTGGAAAAGACAAACCAGGCTGAGGCTGGGCTGTGCAGCTGGAGGGGCCAGGAGTTAGCCGCTTCCCCTCCTCTGTGCTGGGTCAGGGCCCCACTGCAAGTCAGGCTTGCAGCCTGATTAGGATCTGAGTCCACGATCCCAGAGCCTGACCTGCCTGCCCTGCAGGCCTGAAGATTCACCTGGTCTCCGAACTTCCTATGAGGCGCTGGGGGTGTGGCCGCATACACACCACTGTTTGGCTCTCTTGGGGACGTCACTAAATCCACATGCACATTTTCCCCCCAAACACCCTCTCTGATGTCCTTTCCTTCCCTCCCTGCCCTCCGCACAGCAATTTGGAGCTGCAGGGCCTCAGGGCACAACTGAAGCTGGGACATCCCCCCACCCGGGTGCCCACTGGCTCAGTGCCATGTGTCTAGTGGCCAAGATGGAAGCCAGCGCCGCACAGCAGCTGGACACGTGCTGGCGGTCGAATTGAGTGGAGGGCACGGGGCAGAACATCCCAGCTTCCCAGAGGCCCCGGGGCGTGGAAGCGCCACGGCCCCCAAGCCCTCCACCTCAGCAATTCTCAAGGGTGGGCCAGACTGCCTCAGACTGTAACTGCACATCACACAGTGACAGTCTGTGCATGAGGAACAGCTGCACAGGAGCGCTGAGCACAATGGAAGGCCGGCCAGGTCAGTCCGCAGTTCAGTGCAGGATGAGCACATGCACACCAGGAGGTTCATCTCAACGAGAATGCTGGCTACTCGGAATCACAGCTTCATCTGTCTCGTACACAAGCGCAAACAGGACATTTGTTCTACTTAGTGAGTCTCGGCACCTCTCTGTATGACTTCTCTTGCTGTGTGGTAGCAATCAGCTGCAGGTTAGTGAGCAACACT